TTTTAATCAGAACTCAGTTGCTGAATGTGGCAGGGACTTTGATTCAGTGGCTTCTTTTTCTTTGTTACTGGCCATATTCCAGACCATCTCCAGGCAGGGACCTTGGGAGGAAGGCACGGGGAGAAAGGAAGATGAGACCAGATGTGGGGCACCCCAAAACAGATGTGGAGCACCCAAAAACAGGTGTGGGGGCACCCAAAAAAAGATGCTTAGAGCCAGGTGGTGGCAGCACACAGCTTTAAACCCAGCACTTGGGAGGCAGAGGCAGGTGAATCTCTGTAAGTTCGAGGCCAGCCTGGTCTCCAGAGCAAGTTCCAGGACAGGCTCCAAAGCCACACAGAGAAACCCTGTTTTGGGTGTGTGTGTGTGTGTGGGGGGGATACTTAGAAACCAGTGTGAGTATGGGAGGAGCTAGGCTAGGAGGTGCAAAAAGCACAGATAGGAGCCCTTTTTGGGGGGAGGAGAAAGGAGAGGAAGAGGAAGAGGGAGGAGGTGGGGGAAAGCAAGGGGAGGAAGGGAAGTGTGGGGAAGAGGAGAAACAAGGAAAAGAAGTAATGGAAGGGGAGGAGGGGGAGGATGAGGAAGGGAAGGAAGGGGGAGGAAGATGAGAGGAGGAGGGGGAGGAAAGGAGGCCAAGGAAGAGAGGAGCGGCAGAGAAGGTCTGGAGGAGGAGGTACAAATGGATAAACAAATCCCAGTCCAAGGCCAAGACCCGGGCCCGGAAATCTGCCATTAATAATATCGATCGTCTCTTTCGACTCTTTTTGGGTGCTTACCTTTCCTGGATGGCCCACCACCGGAGGCCTCACTTAAGCCCGCAAAGGCCGGGAACAGCGCCATGTTCACAGGCCGCACCGCCACTCCCTCCACAGAAATGGCGCCGCCTGGAGAGCGCTGGTTGGACGACTCTGCCTCGCGATGCACTCTGGGAAATGTGGTTCTCCCTGCACTCCGCTGGGACTTAACCCCTGGGCAAGGCGGGGCGGAGACCTGCCGGGTGCAGACGGGAGGAGGGGTAAGGATGAGACAGGGAAGGACAGTTTCCCGGTAGTTGATGCCCTGGTCTTCAGTGAAAGCTGCAAAAGCAGGAACCGGAAGAGGAAATTCAGAGCAAAAAAAAAAAAAGTGGAAACTGGAATTCCAGCTCAATCCCTAAACTCATACTGCCACATGTAAACTGGGTCAGAGTAATCAAGTTCTGTAAACTTTGGTTTCTTCATCTGCAAGATACTGAGATTAGAGCCGGACATTGGTGGCACACGCCTTTAATCCCAGCACTCGGGAGGCAGAGGCAGGTGAATCTCTGTAAGTTCGAGGCCAGCCTGGTCTCCAGAGCAAGTTCCAGGACAGGCTCCAAAGCCACACAGAGAAACCCTGTTTTGGGTGTGTGTGTGTGTGTGGGGGGGATACTTAGAAACCAGTGTGAGTATGGGAGGAGCTAGGCTAGGAGGTGCAAAAAGCACAGATAGGAGCCCTTTTTGGGGGGAGGAGAAAGGAGAGGAAGAGGAAGAGGGAGGAGGTGGGGGAAAGCAAGGGGAGGAAGGGAAGTGTGGGGAAGAGGAGAAACAAGGAAAAGAAGTAATGGAAGGGGAGGAGGGGGAGGATGAGGAAGGGAAGGAAGGGGGAGGAAGATGAGAGGAGGAGGGGGAGGAAAGGAGGCCAAGGAAGAGAGGAGCGGCAGAGAAGGTCTGGAGGAGGAGAGGAAGAGGCAGTAAGAGGAGGAAGGGTGGGAAAAGGAGAGAAAGGAAGGGAGGGGAAGAGGGAAAAGGAGAAGGGTGGGTGGGGGAGGAGGAGAGGATGAGGGAAGAGAAGGGAGGACAGACAGCACAGGCATATTTGCTCCAGGCTCAGCCGTGCGTGGCAATGAGGAAGATGAGTTACACCCATGTCAGTGCAGGATGCAGGGTGCACTTGTCCCTACTCTGAGAAGAACTCGGCCATGACTTCATCCCCATAGCGTGATGAAAGGGGCTAGGTACTGTTATCACCCTTCGGTGGAGAGGAGGTGAGAAGGGGAATAAGTACAGCTAAAAGGCAGCTCTTCATTCCTGCTTCTTGAGAGGCTGAGGCAGGAAGATTGTAGGTTCAAGCCTGTCTGGACTAGGGTGACCAACTATAAGGCAACTTAGTCAGCTCTGTCTCAGAATAAAAGATTAAAGTGTGTGTGTGTAGGGGGGGGGTAGAGCGTTTGCCTAGCATGCACAAGGCCTGGATCATGGAAGTAGAGGTAGAGCTGAGAGCAACAGTTAGGCCGGCTCCTTAGCAGGCTACAGAAGAAATGTCATTGTGTTAGGGTGATTGATGCTTGGATGGTGGCCTGACCCAGGCCTGGGCCAAGTCACATTACAGAGTAGTGGATACAGGGATCTGAGGAATGAATATGCATACTTGGGGTGCTATTGGTCTTGGGGAGCAGAGGACGATATATATGACATGACAATTGGGTTGGCTTCAGTAGCCCTTGATCTAAGGCAACAGGTTGGCTGGAACTATTCAGGGCCCCAGGGTCAAATAGGGAACAAAGAGGGAATGAGAGGTGTTATTTAGTGGAGGAGGTTAAGGCCCTGATGGAAGGGATGGATGGCTTAAGGTACAGAGAAGAAACTGGCAGGCCAGGGGCAGGACTGGCTGCCCACTTCCCCTTCCACTCAGCTGCATGTCCCTTCATGCCCCACCCCCCATGCCTCCAGGAGAGGATCCCAGCCCCTAGGGTCACTGGAAGTTGGTGGAGGTGCCAGCAGTATGGGGTGAGATACAGAGCGGTTCAAGATGAAGGCTAAATATACATGATTCTTGCTGGTGTTACTGACCTCTCTCAAGAATCGGGAGCCCTCTACGGCCACACATTTTGTACGTTGGGGCTGGGGGGAACCTGAAGTGTGGTTCCTCCTCCTCTGTCTACCTTGTTTTGTGAGACAGTATCTCACACTGGCCTAGAACTCATCAGCTAAGCTAAACTGGAAGACCAGCAACTTCTAGTGACCGGCCTATGTCCCTAATGCTGAGATTCCTGGCATGCATTTTCTTTCTTTCTTTCTTTCTTTCTTTCTTTCTTTCTTTCTTTCTCTCTCTCTCTCTCTCTCTCTCTCTCTCTCTCTCTCTCTTTCTTTCTTTCTTTTTTTTTCAGGAATGGAATTCATGTCTACATGCTTGCAAGGCAGACGTTTTACTGACTACCCTTTTGATGTGGCTTAAAACTCAGTCTCCCCAAGTAGGGGAGAATGACTGGCCAGTGAGCCACCCCATCTCTCTCTCCCCAGTGCTGGGATTATAAGTGTGCACCAATATACCCAGATTTTCCCATGGGTTCTGGGATTGAACTCAGGTCCTCATGCCTGCAAGCATTTCACAGACCCACACATCTTCATCTACATGAGCCTTTAATTCTTGCAGTTTAACTGGTGGTCAGGGAGTTTAGATGAAGCCTGCTTCAAGTCAATAGAAGGAAAGGTGACACCAGATCTCTCTGTCACTTCTGTCTGATCCCGGGTGCGGCGTCTTAGGGCCTGAAGATTAAAGTCCAGTCTGGGCCTGGGACAGGCGGGGCTGAGGAAGGGACTGGATGTGCCTGTTTTCCAGACAGCATGAGGTCTAGGGTCAAAAGGTGTCTGAGCTAGCCGGCTGTCTTGTGATTTGCTCTCTGCATCTGCGGCTGCCCCATCCTGTGACCGTATTAGTCTCTAGGGATTTCATAACCTTGCCAGGTGCTTTCCTGTGGGGATCGCCAGCTTCACTGGGCAGATGAGCAAACAAGGGCACTGACTAGAGATGGCTCGGTTGGTAAACTGCTTGCTTAGTGTGTGAAACCCCGGTTTTAAACCCTAACACCGAATAAAAAAATGTGGAGATGCTCTCTGTCATCCCAGGAGGGAGGAAGGTTACAAGTTCAACATCATCCTTGGTTATATAGTGAATTAAAGCCAAGCTTGGGTGTATAAAACTGTCTCAAAATAAAGGGGGGGGAGACAGAGACAGAGAGAGAGAGAGAGAGAGAGAGAGAGAGAGAGAGAGAGAGAGAGGAGAGAGAATATGAGTGCATATGAGTGCACATGTTTGAGACAGGTCTGGCTAGTCAATGAGCTCCCATCTACCCCCTAGCCCCACCCAGCACTGGAGTTACAAATATGGCTCATTACCATGCCTGACTTTTTTCGTGAGTGCTGGAGATCTGAACTCAAGTCCTCATGCTTGTATGACAAGCACTTTAATGACTCCCCCATCTCCCCAGCCCCAGCAGACAGCTTCCTAAGGGCTCTGCCTGCAGTCTGGCATGAGCCAGGCTCAGTGTCACATCTTTCTTAGAGAGACAAGGCTGGCTCACACTTGCCTTTGGGAATCTTATTCCCAGCTGGCATACAATGTTTCCCAGCAGTCCCCTTTTCCTCACTCCCCTCATTTCCCAACACCAACCATTCTGTGTTATCTGTTTTTCCTACCTCCCAGTGATGTAACCTGCTTCTGTGCATCCTCTAAATGAGTCAGTTAGCGTAAATCTGGGCAAGAGGTGCAGTCTATACGGAATTTCAAGCAGAAAGCACAAGTTGCAAACTCGACCAATTCCCCCAGTGTTCTTCCTCAAGTACCTATCAAGTACACAGATCTAACAGCATGCCAGGTGCTGCAAATACAGCAGTCTCTTGACATGTGGCCTTGCCTTCCTAGGGGGACACAGCTGTCCAGGTAGGACAGCCAATGACATGTTACTCCAAAATACCATCAGAATGGAACAGAGAGTAAAACCGTGCACCTGGTGGAGCAGTAGAACAGTAGAGGACCCAGCAGGCTGGGTGGGTGGTTATAGCCTCTCCAAAGAGAATAGGAACAGAGAAGGTGTCATTCTTGGGGGTAGGAGAACTGCCCAGGAGCAGTATGGGATTGGTTTGCAACTGGTAAACACCTGGCCAGGCTTTGGCAGAAGAAGGAGGACATGTAGAAAAGGGAAGGGCCCCCAGAGGAGGTGGGTCTAATGGGAAGCTGGGGAGGTCAGTTCATGGTTTCCCATGGTATCGGAGCAGAAAACAGGGCTGGAGGAAGGAGGTTGCCTGCTGGGAGTTAACCCAGGTGTCACAGGCCCTTGCCAACTCATTAATTCCCATGGTGTCTTCCAGACCCAGAGGCTGTTGGGCCCTAAGAGGCCCCACCGGTCCTTCTTTGAGTCCTTCATCCGGACACTCATCATCGTGTGCACTGCCCTGGCTGTGGTCCTCTCTTCAGTCTCCATCTGCGATGGCCACTGGCTCCTGGTAGAGGACCGTCTCTTTGGGCTGTGGTACTTCTGTACCATCAGCAACCACAGTGAACCTCACTGCATGAGAGACCTGAGCCAGGCTCACATGCCGGGGCTGGCTGTGGGCATGGGCCTAGCACGCAGTGTGGCGGCCTTGGCTGTGGTGGCTGCCATCTTTGGCTTGGAGCTGCTCATGGTGTCCCAGGTGTGTGAGGATGTCCGCTCACGACGCAAGTGGGCCATCGGTTCTTACCTCCTGCTGGTCGCCTTCATCCTCTCTTCTGGGGGGCTCCTCACCTTCATTATCCTCCTCAAGAGTCAGATCACCCTCATGGGATTCACCCTGATGTTTTGGTGCGAGTTTACCGCATCCTTCCTCTTCTTCCTCAATGCCACCAGCGGCCTTCACATTAACAGCCTCACTCAGCCCTGGAACCAGCTAAGAAAAGTCTAAGGCCCCTCCAGGGGGCGCCCTGGCTTCTATAAGAAAGTGTCGTCATGAAGGGACTTCTCTGACAGGACCTCTGGCTGGGATTGAGTTGGACGATGGTCTTGAAGCTGCCTCTTAGACACTAAACTCTAGAAATGGCCCTGGGGGGAGGGGACGGGGCTCTTCAGCTGCCCTCCAGGCCAGAGGCCAGAGGATTGCCTCAGAACCATAGCACAGCAAGCTGTAGAGGTTAGCCAAGCTATTAAGCTATGTCAATTCTAAAATAAGAAGAATGTTCTAAAACTTCTTCCTTGGGTGTTTTCTTCTCTGGACTGGAATAGACTTTGAAAGACACCAGCTGTCTGTCTGTTCCAGGCTGGCTGCCCGGCTAAGTAGGGTTCACACCTGTTTCATTGATAGCACTGGGATGTGTGTGGGCTAGAGGTGCCCTGGGACACTTTTTTATTTTTTTTATTTTTCTTGTGTATATGTATGTGCTGTGTGCGTGCGTTTGCATGTGTGTGTGTGTGTGTGTGTGTGTGTGTGTACATCTTCACATGTATATGGGATCATGTATGTGTGGATGTACATGCAAGTGGGTGCATAGATCTGAGGTTGATGTCTGCGCTTATCCTTAGTTGCTTTTCCACCTTAATAATTGAGGCAGGGTCTCTCAATCAAACCCAGAGCTTACCTGCAAGGCTAGTCTCACTAACAAGCTTGCTCTGGAGATGTCCTGTCTTGGCCTCCCAGGCTGGAATTACAGGTGAGCTACCACACCATCCAACATTTATGTGGGTTCTAGGGATCCAAACTCTGGTCTTCTTGCTTGCATGGCAAGTGCTTTAGCCGAAATCTCCCCAGCCCTGCCCTTGGGACTATTGAGGTTTCTAGAATGACTCAGTCCTCCACCTAGAGACCAGTCAGTGGCTAGGACTTTCTCCCATCAGTTCACCCAAGGGGCTTTGCACACATTGCCCTGGATTTAGCAGGATTCTCCCAGGAAGCCTTTTGAATAGCAGATTTTTTTTTTTTTTTTTTTTTGGTTTTTTGAGACAGGGTTTCTCTGTGGCTTTGGAGGCTGTCCTGGAACCAGCTCTTGTAGACCAGGCTGGTCTCGAACTCACAGAGATCCGCCTGCCTCTGCCTCCCGAGTCCTGGGATTAAAGGCATGCACCACCAACGCCCGGCGAATAGCAGATTTTCAATCTGTTGATTTACAGTCCTCCCCTGTCCTTTGTGTGGGCCCACAGGTTCTGGAACACCCCAGTTTCTGGAAGCTAGCTGTCCTCCCTGTGGCTCAGTTTGAAGTCTTCCTTGAGCAACATCCCTGCAAGCGTGCTCAGGTGATTTCTAACATGGTCTTCCCTGAGGCCAGTTTAGACTCAGGACTGTTTGTGAGACTGACATTTGTAAGGGTCAGGTGACCTCCGTGTCCGTTTCGGATCCTGGAACACATTTCAAAGAGCACATGCTTGCACTGCCCAACTCCCCAGCGGGTGAGGGGACAAACAGATGTTGAGTAATAATTAACAGCTTGCAGGGGATAGGTGGAGGTGAAAGGAGTCAAGAACCAGTGGAGATTTCCATACTCATTGGAAGAACTGTGACCCCCCCACCCCACCTCCCCCCGTCTCCCCCTCTGTGTGTGTGCACATATGTGTGTGTGCATGTGCATGAATGTGTGTACAGATACATGTGTGTGCATGTGCATGTGCATGCATGTGTGTACAGGTGCATTGTGTATGGGTGCATGTGTGGAGGCCAGAGGCTGTGTTGTTTCTCAGATGCTATCCACCTTTGTGTGTGTGTGTGTGTGTGTGTGTGTGTGTGTGTGTGTGTGGGCATGCACGCACCATGGCACACAAGTCGAGTTTAGAGGTCAATATTCCCTCTTGGTCTTCACCTTCCATTTTGTTTGGGACAGGGTCTGTTGTTCTCAGCTGCACATGCCAGGCTATCCAGCCTGTGAGTTTCCAGGGATTTCCTGCCTCTCTTTTTTTATCCTATGAGCACCGTGATTGCAGATGTGACCACTACTGTATCCAGCTTTATGTGTGTGCTGGGAATCCAAACTCAGGTGGTCAGGTTTGTGTAACAAACATCCCCTTGGCCCCATTTTACTTTTCATGATGGTCTCTCTCTGGTCTGGAATTTGCCAGCTAGTCTAGGTTGGCTAGCCAGTGAACCCCAGAGACCTCTGTGTCTCATCTCACAGAGCTGGGATTACAAGGACATGCCACCATGCCCATCTTTTATTACACTGGTTCTTTAGACTGAACGCGGGTCCGTGTGCTAACAAGGCAATTGATGGACCAGCTGAGCCTTCCCCTTAGCCCCGTATCTGCTTGCTCATTCTGTTGCCCCGTTTCTAGTTTTTACCACCCAGAAATAGGTGAAATGATTTCTTTTATATTCTGTAAAGTCCCTTTCTCCTCCAGCCACTGAGTGGGTTTTTAGACTTTGCCCTGATCTTGCCATAAGGGTCCCCCCTAGGGCTAGGTGAATACAACTGTGATGATTTCTTTTCTGCTGCTAGGAACCAAACCCAGGTCCTTCTACACTAATCAAATACTTCACCAGCAAGGGCTCATTTTATTTTGAGACAGATATTGCCCAAGCTGGTCTCTACTTTGTGGGATCAAGTGATCCTTCTGCCCCAACCTCCCCAAGCAGCTTCTATTGTGTTGTTGTATATGTATGTACACATATTCCACGTGTGTACACATATCTGTGTGAGGGTACACAGGCATGCGAAGCTCAGAGGCCAACCTTCTGTGTCATTCTCCAGGAAACCATATACCTTGTTTTTGAGACAGTGTCCCTCACTGGCCTAGAACTCACCAAGTGTGCTTTCCTGGGTGGCCAGTGAGCCCCAGGAACCTCCTGCTTCTGTCTACCCAGCACTGGGATTGCAAGCCTGCACAGCCACACCAGGCTTTTACACAGGCTCCAGGAACTGAACTCAAATGTCATTCACTTTACCCACCAAGCCATCCCTCTAGCCCCTTCTACAGTGATTTTTGAATATCTTTGTTTTACTTATGATTGTGTATGTGTGTATGGTTATGTACACATCGTGTGCATATGTGGAGCTTGGAGAACAGCTTGGTGGAGCTGGTTTTCTTTCCACCTTTACATGGGTTCCGAGGATCCAGTTGAAGCCATCATGCTTGCTCAGCAAGCACTTGCACTGAATGAGCCACTTCTCTAGCCCCAATTTTTAGGCATCTTTATTCCAGTTGAGAGTCATGAGACTACAAATGCTAAAACTGAACTACCACTATTCAGATATCTTGGAGATCCCCAGAACCGGTTGTTTGATTTGTTTGCTTGCTTGCTTATTTATTTTGCAATGCTAAGGATCACTCACATCCAAGGCCTGGTGCACCGGATGAGCCATATTGCCATCTCTAACTGAAGAGTTTGTGAGGGCTGTTTGATTTTTATCAAAAACAGAGTTCATTGACCACTCATGCTGGGTCTCAGCCTGGGAAGGGGTCCTGCAGCAGCCTGCAAGATGCAAATAGGAGGTCATGACTTCATTTCTGCTTAGGTTTCTCTGCTGTGCTTTGTTTTGGAAGAAAGTTCAAACATTTCATCTGTCTGTGAAGCCAAGGAGTGCAAATATTGAGGCATGGAGAGCCAGCATTATGGAGGCTCAAAGTTCAGGACATGGGCCATTGTCCTTCCCTATTTGAGAGCTAGGAAATCACCACCTGTCTTGAAGCTCAGGTATTTAAAGTAAAAGACTATGCACTAGGGATCCATAGAGATGTAGCTCAACTGGTAAAGTGCTTGCCTATTATGTATAAAGTCATGAGTTTGATTCCCAGGACCACATAAACCAGGTCTGGTGGTGCACACCTGTAATTCTGGCTCTTGGAAAACGAAGGCAGAAGAATCAGAAGTTCAAGGCCATCTTCAGCTACCTAGGGAATAGCAGATCAGCCTGGGCTACAGGAGACACTTGTCTCAAAGTAATAACAAGACTTCCATATTGTTGCCAAGTAGCTTGGGCAAGATTTGGGCCTTTGAGGAGCTGTCTCGCATCCTTTGAGAGCATGGCTTAGTTCCTGATGTACCTACTTTCCATGTACTCCTCATACCATATCAGGGACAATGAAAGGGAGGCTTCAGATGCCCCGTGATGTCATCAGCTTAATTTTGCTGCTGTCCTGAATGCTCTGTGAGAGTTCTAGGGCAGATGAGTTGCAGTGGGGGACAGACAAGATCTGTCTAAGGCCAAGGGTCTTGATTCCTCCTGTTTTCTGAGCTTCTAAGCTTGTTCTTAAAAGTCAGCTGGGATTTGGAGGCAGAGAGCTCCCTCCTCCTGCAGGGAGAAATTGGGAACTGGTGTAGAGCATACTACCTCCCCAGGTGGCAAAAGATGGACACACACAGACTAGGGTTTTCTAGCTGTCATTTATTCCCTTGCCTCTTCTGGAGCCCCTGAATTGCTTGACTCAGAAGAACAAGAAAGACCAAATCACAGGCCTATTTCCTGCTCCATGTTGACCCAGTCCTGCTTAGTTCTGAGGAAGCTCAGACCTGTCAGGTACTTGAACACAAAATGGCTGTTAGGAAGATAACTGTCCTACTGAATGTCCAACTTTTGTCCTGTGCCAGCCTTGCTGCTGCCTCAGATGACACTGGCCCTGTGGATGCTCCGGCTCTGCTCCGAGGTGCTGGCCTTGCTGCTGTGGGTGGGACCACTGGTGGCATTGCTGAAGGAGTTGCTGAGGGCCACAGGGCGCAGCGGGAACTCTTGGAGGTGCCACTGGCGCCATTTTTTCTGAACTTCCAGCTGCACCTGCCCGAGACTGGCCATCAGCTGCAGCACTCACTTGAGAAAAGGGATAGGCCTGTGCCTAGAACCTGACTCACTGACTAGTCCAGCTGCTCCCGCTCTCATGGCCCTGCTGTGACCCCTTGCCTATAGGTCTCTGACTGACCCTTTCCTGCTCAGTGTATAGAAGGTACTGAGGGTCCCCTCTACCCTGGGCATTTCTATTTTATTTATTTATTTATTTATTTATTTATTTATTTATTTATTATTGAGAGTGAGGTGTGAACACATCGTGCACACCATGACATCTTGTGAGAGTCAGGGGACAACTGGGGTGCTCCTTCCACATTAGTTCTGGGGATCAAAGTCAGGTTGTCAGACTTACGGACAACCATGTGCACCCACTGAGCCATTGTGCTTGACTGTACCTGCCATCTTCTAACACTCTGTTTCCCAGAAAAGGTGTGTGAGTTGTTCCATAAACTGCAGAATCAAGTGTCCAAACCTGCGTGCTTGTTCCCAGAAACCCCTCATCCCAGCCTGGAATCCATCTGGAATCTGGGGGGTTTGCTCTGTAGACATTTCCTCTATGGTCCCCAGTGGAACACTTGAACCTCTGAATTCATGTTTGATGTATGATTTTTGGGAAACATCTGAGGTCATTCCCATTCAAGTGTGTGAACCAGACAGATTGGCCAATAGTCACAGAGACACTTGGCTTGTGTGCAGTACCTATTTAGCCAGGGTCAATGACTGCAGCTCATTATCCTGAAACCTCAGTCCCTGCCCAAGGCCGGGGCAGTTCCTAGTGACCCACTTCACTCATGGGAAGACCAAGCTCCAGGTGGGAAATGACCCAGGTCACTCATAGAGCCAGCGGCAGAACTGCCAGGAACTGGGCTTCTGAGGGGGGCCTGGTCTCTTCTGGGTTTGCTGAGCTTGCTTGCCCATGGATAGGAAGCACCCAGCGAGTTTGGTAAGGAACACTTCACAGGTCCAGCTCACACCCACAGAGTCTATTTCTGCTGGCTCTATCCTGGGGACATTGCCCAAGATGTAATTTATCATATCCCCAGGAGACTGCCAAGCAAGCAGACCTGCCCCAGCCCCCTTTCCATCCCCCTTCCACTGCTCTCCAGGGAGCTCCTGCATTGGAATTCCAGGGTTCCCCAGGACACTCACCTCACCATTGAGGAAGCAGTAAAGGATGGCTACCACCAGCCCCTAAAGAAGGAACTTTGAGTTAGTCCATGGGTTGTAGACTTGGCTTAACCCTCCCATTAGCTCCTGCCCAAGTACTAAGGTGTGAGGACTCTCTCTCTCTCTCTCTCTCTCTCTCTCTCTCTCTCTCTCTCCTCTCTCTCTTGTGTACCTTTCAGCCTTGGGGGATTTCCTACTTTGGAGCCCATTGTACACTGCCTTGTTCAACACAGAAAGAGTCATTTTTAGCTATAGATCCTGAGGCCTAGCACATGGCCTCTAACTCCTGTGTCAGTGGAAGGGAAGTAGAGCTTCTGACTTGGGCCCTGACTAAAGAGACAGTTCAGATCTTTGGAATTGATATAGAGAGCCATTCAGGATAGCAGAGACAGGAGGTCCCTGAAGTATCACTCCCATCCCACTGTGAGGGGAAAGGTCACTCCAGTGGGAGATTCTGGGCTCACAAGGAAGGCCGCCCATCTGAGCTAGGTGAGGGATGTCAGTTTGCAATGCCTGCAGAGCTGTGGGTGATGTGTGATGGTCGCTACTGACTGTCAACTTGATGGAGGCCAGCATCACCTGGGTGAGAACCTCCGAGCATGCCTACAAGGGGTTTTCTACATTAATCAAGGTAGGAAGACTGTCCCCACATGTAGGAGGCACTACTTGGTCCAATGTGGAGAAAGTCAGCTGGGCACCATAATGCCACCAGCTGCCTCAGGTCCTGTGCCAAGATTTCTCCACCATCATGGGCTGTCCCCTATAACTCTGAGGCAAAATAAAGGCTCCTCCTTGCCTACACTGTTCCTGTCATGGCGCTTTATCACAGCAATAGTAACCAATCCATGGGGAGACTGCTCTCTTCCTCCCTTAGAGCCCACCTCACCATTCTGCCTTCCTCACAGGCCTGCCCTCCATCTCCCTGATAATCTTCCTCTCCCAAAGGCTTCCATATTCAGCTTAAAACTTCAGCTGGCCTAGCCCTCTAGTAGCGCTAGCCTTTAGCTACTTACTTACCACACTGAAGGACCCCAAAGGGTAATGGACCTGCCCCTCCATGGTGGGCTGAATATGAACAAGTGCTCAGGAATATTGGCTTTGTGAGGTGTGAGGTGTGTGTGTGTGTGTGTGTGTGTGTGTGTGTGTGTGCAAAGTGTGCATGTGTTGACTGATGAAGGCCTCTAGTCAACAAGTCAACACTGGTCCTTACCCTCAATCAACTTTTTTTGAGACAGGATTTCTCACTGAACCTAGGGCTCTGAATGGCCAGACAGGCTGGTTAATGAGCTCCTGGGTCTACCTGTCTCTGTCCCCTCAGTGCTTGGGTTACTGGCACCCCTACCCCAGTTTTTTACAGGGTTGCTGGGGATTCTAACTCAGGCCCTCTGCTTGTGCAGTAAGCACTTTGCCCACTGAATAATCTTCCCCAGGTTGGTTTTGAAGTGGGCAGGACCTGAACCCATGGCCCATGCATGCTAAGCATATGTTCTACTATGGAGATATAAAGCCAGAACAATCTGGTGGGGTTGTTGTTGTTGTTGTTGTTGTAGGTGTATATGTTTTTTTTCCTAGAGATTTATTTCTATGTGTAGTTATGTATACTTATGTATGTGTGTGTATGCTACCTGCACTCAGGTATCTGTGGGAGCCAGAAGAGAGCACCAGATTCCCTGGAACTAGTTACCAGTGATTGGGAACCACCTGATAAGGATGCTGAGAACCAAACTCAGGTCCTCTGCAAGAGCAATAAGAATTATCAACCACTACACCATCTGCACAGCCCATGGTCCTTATCTCTTGCTACATTGTCTAGGATGGCTGATAGACATGGGTTCATTCTGTTATTCTCTTCCCTTTGGTATGTAGAAGAACTTTGATATGTTTATATTTGAATACACCTATGTGTATATGGGAACATATACATGTTTCATTTAATGTATTTGTATACATAAGAACAAACATTTTTTGAAGGACAGAATCTCACAAGCCACTGGCTGGCTTGTAACTTGCAGGACAGCCCAGGCTGACCTAGAATGTGAAGCTATCTTCCTGCCTACCCCTCCCAAGGGCTTGGATTGCATGTGTGTACTAAGCCCAGATATTTACCTGTTTTTAATGACCTCATTTATCAGCAAGCTCATGGGTCATTAGGAAAGTGCTCTTGTTTGGTTTGGTTTGGTTTTGGTTTTATCTTGTCTTCCCAATTCTGGGGACAGGAAGCCCCTACCTACATGGAGAAGCAGCTCTGGGGACCCCAAGCTCTCTGAATGCTCACTACTCACTTTGGTGGTCAAGCCAAGTCCTTCCAAAGCCCCCAACAGGATGGGTCCTGGTGAGCCCACTGTTTCATGTGCAATAGGACCAGGGAACTGGCAGGGAGCTTCTCAGAGGAGGGGACAGGAACAGCCTGGGGTTGGGTTTGAAATAGGAGAGAGAGTCAGGATCTGACTAACTGTGTCCCCAGTAAGGAGTCTTCCTTGGAATCAAGAGCAGTGGCAATAGCTTAGTCAACCCTGAGCAGAATCCAAGGGATGAAGGGAGAATGGAGGCCTCACTTTGATGCTCCCCATTGGGTGGGCTCTGCTAGAGTTGTATTCCCTGTGGGAATACTAGCAAGGAAAACTTAGCAGGGGTGGAGCAGTAGGGTGGGGGGTGAACATCCTCAAGCCCTATAGCATGATCACAAGACTTCTTTGGGCAATGGGCTTGCTTTCATTGGTGTGTGTGTGTGTGTGTGTGTGTGTGTGTGTGTGTGTGTGTGTGTGTGTGTGTGTATGTGTGTCTGTCTGTCTGTCTGTGTATGTGTGTGAACACATGCATACACAGATTATGCTGGATGGAGCCCTGGGTCTCGGGGATGCAGGGTAAATACTCTACCAGTAAGCCACAGGCCAAATCCACTGGCCCTCATCTAATGGATACTATAAGTCTTGAAACAAACTGTTCTTTCCTTGACTTCTGGAAAGCTCCAAACCCAGGCTGACCTCAGACTTGCTATGTAATGAAGGATGACCTTGACTCCTATCTCCTTCTCCCAAGTACTTGGATTACAAAGTACACTACCACACCAAGTTTATATTCTTTCCACTGATAAGTCATCTACATATTTTTTCTCCATCTGTTGTTACTGAAAGTGATTTCATGTTATTTTTGGAAAGAAATGGACTACAAGCAAATAAATAAAGCAACAATGTGAGGCTTGAGATTCCAATTAGAATTTCTTCTTACCCATTTGTGGTGTTGTTGCCTTAACTTCACAACATCTTGGTAATTAGAGGTGGTTAAAACCCCAATAGTTAGGGGCTAAGAAGATGGCTCGGTGGATAAAGTGCTTGCATTGCAAGCTCCAGGCCCTGATTTCTATCCCATAACCCATTTAAAATGTTCACTGTGTGACACACCAGGGAGACAGAGATTGGCAGGTCCCTGGGCCAGCTGGCCAGCTAGCATGGTCGAGCCTACTTGGTAAGTTCCAGGCTACAGAGAAATCCTATCTAAAAACCAAAAACCAAAACAACAACAACAAAAAGGTGGACAGTACCTGAGGAATGTTGTCCCCTGGCAGGCGCGCGCGCGCGCACACACACACACACACACACACACACACACACACAGACCACACACACATACAAGTCCAGCATCCCCTCGCCACCCACCCCCACTTCCTACTCCTTAGGGGTAACGAGTCCAATCTGAACTCTTTTAACTGATTTTAAATAAAATGCTGATGTTTCGAGCTTTCAGTTTCTCAGCTTTAGGCATTTCCTCCAGACTTTCCTGTAAGAAAAGGAGGTTCATCTGCCTGTCGTTTTACTCACTGTGTATCTCATTGTTGTGAATGTGCTACCTGCTATGGTTGTGTAACACTTTGTACATCATGCTCGGTTAATTTTCCCCTTCTTTCTCCCAGGAGTCAACCTCCCCCATTTCCCTTATGCTCTTACTATTGGAGATTCAAAATCAGTTGGCATCCACTTTGGAAATCAATATGGCGATTTCTCAGAAAATTAGGAATCAATCTACTTGCAGGATCCTGCAATACCACTTTTGGGCATATACCCAAAGGAGGAATAATCATACTACTAGGACATTTGCTCAACTATGTTCATAGCAACATTATTTGCAATAGCCAGAACTTGGAGACAACCTAGATGCCCCTCAACTGAAGAATGGATAAAGAAAATGTGGTACATCTACACAGTGGAGTACTACTTAGTAGTAAGAAACAATGACATCCTAAAATTCGCAGGCAAATGGACAGAACTAGAAAAACCCATCCTGAGTGAGGTAACCCAGACCCAGAAAGACAAATATAGTATATACTCATAAGTGGATATCAGACATAAAGCAAAAGATACCCAGCCTACAATTCACAACCCTAGGGAAGCTAGAACTCTCTTCCAGAAACAGATGAAAGATGGTGCAGCTGGGGCAATATATGAGGCCACTGGCAGTAATATCTAATACTAATGCACACACTGACTTAGTAGAGCCCATTCTATATGGAGAGAAACCTTACTCAGCCTAGACACAGGGATGTGGGGGGGTGGAGAGGTGCCTTGGTCCTGCCACAATGAAATGATGGGACAGACTTAGTAGACTTCCTAGGGGAGTCCTTACCTCTCTAAGGAGCAGATGTAAGGTGAGGGGGGAGTGGGATGATAGGAGGGAGGGGGAACTGGGATTGGAATATAAAAAATAAGTTAAAAAAATCAGTTGGCTGGAATCCAGTTGCAGAGAAGGACGAGTGATGAGCAAAGGGGTCTAGA